TGAACAAGCACCAGCGAGAAAAGGTGGTGCCTTACACCAGGTTTCTTTCAATGGTATTGACTAAGATCTTCAAAAGTCTTTATCCCAAAGAAGGAAACCTTCCAGCATTTAGGCTTGGGTCCAGGATTCTGGAACACAAGCTGAGGGACAGTGATGTGCCTCTCTCTTCTATTGCCATCACTACCTCTTCCTATCAGGTGACAAGAACAAGGGAAACCTCCCCCCGAGTCTATCCCAGTCACCAAAACCCCTTCAAAACGACCCCCTCAATGAACTCTTGGTTCTCCTCAGAGAGCCAAGAAAGCCAAAAAGGGGACAGCCACGTCACTAGCTGGGGCCTCTCAAAAGACTTCAGTTATTGAAACAAGCCTTACCCCCGAGGCGTCCTCTGTTAACCCTCCCAGCTCTTCCGTGATTTCTCCCATCACTGTCGTACCAGTGGAACCTTCACCAACCACTTCAGTGACCCAAATAACTGAAAGTGTAGATATCAGCGTCGCCACCGCTGAACACACACGTCTTTTCTCAACCATTTTCTCTTCTCCTCCCTTCTTGGTCTTTACACATGTCGATGATGTATCAACGACTGTCCTTCCTGATACTGAGACACGCACCACAAGACCTGAGGTTGCTCCTCTCGATGCTCCTCAACATACGAATGTCCATCCTCTCGAGGACATCTTTGCTCCCACCAGTGTTACTCCTTTTGATGTCACTGAAGGCCCCTCAGGTATTCCATCTTCCTACCCCTTCATTTCTTCTAACCTTGAGCCTTTAGCTCACACTTCTTCTTTTGCAGGTCCTTCTTTGATGCATCAGCCTGATGCTCAAGAAGTGGAAGAGAGAGAAAGAGAGAAAGATGATGGAGGATATGAGGATGTCGATGATGACTATGACATGGCATCAGATATCAAACTTCTCCTTCCAATCGTTGATACCGTTCTCTCCAGGGTCAAAGAAGTTCACCAAGAGATGTCCCGACAAGGCGATCTTGATACGAGCTTCCTAGCCCTCCAGGCGGACGTTCAAGAAGTTCAGAGTCAGCTCAAGACTCTCCAAGAAGTTGTTCACGCCAACAACAATGCCATTGCTGTTCTTCACAGCAGGGCTGACGATGCTCAGGCGATTGTTGATCAGCAGCTTGGACTTCTTCAGCAAATTCTGGATGCTGTCCGTCAACCAGCTCTAGTGAGTGCACCCTCTTTCTCTGCCAATGATCGCGCCCAGCTCCATGAGACGCATGAGGCAACAACAACTCTAGCCAATGCTTTGGAAAGGCTGGAGGATTCCATGGTTCTCCAGCGATAGCGCTTGGACGAACTCTCTGGCCAATTCTCTCTAGTCTTAGCCAGAGAGGGGAAGATGAGGTTTAACGCTAGTGGATCATCAGATGCTGCTCCTATAGCTTCTCAGGCTGTTCGTCCAGTATCAGCTTCAGTTGCAGTTGAAGCCGAGGCTCTCGAAGCTGAAGCAGTTGCTGCTCCTGTAATCCCTACCACCGAAGCTGCCCAAGCTGAGGTTGTAGAAGCCATCCCTAGGGATGATGTCCATACYRTCACTGCTGCTGGTGATGATGATGATGTTGATGAGGATGAAGATGATGATGATGAAGACGATGACGAACCTGTCATTCTAGACACCAGAGATGATTTAGATGGTGACGACGACGATGATGATGAAGATGACTTTACCATCAAGTTCCAGAAACCATCAACTGTTACCACAGGTGTTGCCCTTGGGGAAGCTCAATCCAGGGGGAGCAAAGACAAGGCGAATCGACTCCATCAGAGCACCAGGACCCCAAGTCAAAAGGCAAGGCGGTTGCTGAAGAAGGTAACTTGAAGGTACTTTTCTCATGCCCTCAAGAAACCTTATTTGAATACTCTACTTCTCAGGTAGTGATCACTTCAGAGTATCAACTTCATATCCCTTCAACAACCTGTGGTCGACTGGGTATCTGATCAACCCAGCTCTTATGCTCCAACAGACCAGCAAATGTCTCAACTTAAGGAGTTGCTCGACCAGACTAGAGTTAAAATTCCTCTTCGTACCTCTAGTGGTGGTGAGTTTGAAGTCCTTTCTGAAGCTGAAAGACTCAAGGCAGTAAGGGCTGAAGAAGAGCTAGAGCTTCAGAAGAAGCAGAATGAAGACAGCTTAAAGCTGGCCAAGTCACTAGCTGCTAAAGTCCTTCCCAAGAAAAAGTCCAAGAAAACGGTGAGTGCTGTTCAAGCCCAAGCTAAACTTCTTTCTATGGCAGAAGCTGAACGCAATAAGAAGCAAAAGCTAGCGGACAAGGATAAGCAATGAAGTGAAGTAAAGCTGAAAAAGAGACTAAGTCCACACCCAATCATCAGC